AGTTTATAATAATACAGCATCATAAATGCAAAGCTGGGCGTCATGATAATTATTTATGACATGTTTCTGGCCAACACCGAGTGTTTCTGTAGAGGCTTTAATTATCATATATGCATCTTTGTTCCACGTCCATAAAAATCCCAGAGCTCTGTATGGGTGAAAGCTGAATTTATAGGATCTTGGAAAGGGCAGAGCCTGGAGGCAGTGAGAAAGGCTGCTCCTAACCACCAAATGCCAGATTCAGTGAAAGGACATGAATGTCAGCAGGGCACAAAATGTAAAAATGAGGCAACAGGTGACAGTCTCAGCAGGTGGAACTGTAGTTCCCAGAGTAAAAGGATTTGTGGCAGCTATGTCTGTGCCTGATCTGTGTCTGCACCTCGATGGAGGTGACCGGGGAGAGGTCTCTGGATCTGAGGTCCCAGCTGAGCAAGAGGCTGACACCAGGACCGTGGCAGCACAGATATTCGGGCTCAGGGACACGGGCAGCTGGTACACCCTCCGCCTGTGCTCTGCAGGGTAGCTGCACCCGGGGCTGCCCAGCCCTGTGCCAGGAGTGTCTGATCACCCTCCATGTAACATTGGTGGATGCTCAGGGAGAGCGCGGCTGCTGGCCACCAGGCAGCTCTGCAGTTCAGCCTGAGCAGAGAACTGCAAAGCACAAAGCTCGGGGATGTCTCAGCAAAACAGGCAGATGCAGGACAGCGTGATCAGCATCACCAGCTGCCTCCAGTATGCCTGTCACTATCTGCTTCTGGCAAGCATCTCAGCGCTGGAGGAGAGCTGCCCCAAGTCCAGGCACTATGGGGCTGCCTTGAGCTTGGAAGCAGGCTGGGTTTCTTCTTCCAAAAAGCGCAGATGGAAAAATTCAGGATGCAACATCTCTGAGTATTTCCTACAGAAATCACAGTATAACATGAGAACCTCCTCTGGTTTTTAACAGGAAAACCAAGTTTCTTGCTAAGTGGGGCTTGAAATTATGACCCAGGGATTTCCAGAAGCTCAAAAAAAAAAAAAAAAAGAGAAGATCCTCCAGCATAACTGCAATTTTAGATTCAAATTCTAAATCCACATACTTCTGGATGTTCAGAAAAGAGTTAATCTTAATTCACCACAAATCTGCTCCATCAAATCTATTCTCAATGGCTTCCTAATATGGCAGCTTTGATTTCTTGCTATTTTTCATTACCTACCAACACACTTTATCATTCAATCAATGAAGGAAGCATCACAACAAGATATATACATAATACACAGCAGCTGCACAGGACCAATACTGTTACAACTTTAAGTCCTCAAAAAACTGAAATTCATATTGACTACCAAGAGAGCAAGATAATAGGTCTCATTGGCCAAAGTATTCATCAGACACATGAGAAGACAGCCCAAACACTGGCACCTGCTAAGTCTGAAAAGCACACAAGTTGGTTTTGCATGAAGACCAATAAAAAGATTCAAGGAGAAAACTGAAATCGGATGGGAGATGAACATACACCACAGGACATCAATTAGGACTAGGACTGGTCCTGGCATGAATATATGAAACAAAAAGGCAACATTTGTGATTACAAGGGGGATGGAATAGTTTTTTGAAGGGTCCAAAAGCGCTGAACAAACAAATGGATGCTGTAGAACAAGTGAAAATTAAAATCGTCTTGTACAACACTAGAAATACTCCTTTCACTGTTCACTGCTCTGCACTGGTACGCCCTCCCTTGCAGCACTGTGCCCTTTTTGGGGCACTGAAACCCCACAGCACCACCAACCTCTGCGCAGGGAACCAGCAGAGACCTGGGAAGGTGGCCCATGTGGGACCACTGTGTCCCACCCCTGGCAGAGAGTAGGCACAGGGATGTGGTTGTGCTCCTCAGATGGGCGAGCATGGAGAGCAGGAGCAGAGCAGCAATGGGCTCAGGCTGCAACAGGCTGCTGGGGACGCTGCGTAGGCATCTGCAGGATCATCCCGCGATGCCCTGACAACGCCAGGAAAACTAGCAGACGAGAAGGCAGAACAGGGCAAATCAACTGAAACAGCAGCAAGCAATACAAATTCCAAGAAAACACCAGAATGTCATAGAGAAAACATAAAGATGGGTTTCCTCTGGGTGCTGCGTAACACGGCATGACGGCAATCTTGCACACGCTTGTGCTGGGAAGTGCAGCCTCTAACAGCACAACCTCCCACCTGCACGGGCATGCTAACTGCAGGGAACTGCGGAAAGCCCTTTTCTTTTCATACGTACACGGGGAGAAAGACCAACTAACCTCAGCAAATACACTGGGCTTTTCAGTGATAAATTCTGTTATCAGTCCAAGCCAACCTCAACTTCAGCCATGTTTCACGGCAGGCTGCAGCGTGCAGCTTCACTTCCACGGCCATGGGGACTGCAGCACACGGGAGGGTTTGGTGTGTCCTGAGTCACGAGCCACACTGAATCACCAGCAAAAGGCAGGGGACCCTGTGTACTTGTTCCACCGATGAGAGCCACAGCTGAAAAAATTAAGGTTCCCTGCCCCAGACAACCCTCAAATCTACTGGGAGTGCTCTGAAATGGGAAAGCAGACCAAGGACTTGG